AGCCTTTCTTCCTCTTCATCCAAGAAGACTCCCCTACAGTCACTAAAGCAAGTTATTATATATTTATATACCTAGCTGCCTCTGGCCTAGCAACCTCCAGCAGACCATTATTAACTGTTGAGTTCAAAATTACTAGCAGTTCAGCGCTCATTGGGTTGGTCTGACATGTTTTTTAATATAAACCTGTCTTACCTGCTTTCCCTTTGCCTCTGGCAAACCAGCAGTTTCTACCGTTACGGTACATGATGGCTGAAAAACACTTTCCTAAGATCTGCTTTTAGCCATGTAGATCTCCAGCCCAGTTTTACTGTCATCAAATCCAGCCTTCAGACAGTCAAATCAATCCCCTTCCTGCTCTCTCCCCACATATATTGTCTTTTCTTACAAGCCAGTGTTTGCATTTTCATTATCTTCTGTTTCCTTATTATAAACACCTGGAAAGTAAGCCTTACCTGGCAGTGAAAAGGGTGACAGACTGTCCTGTTCATTTTCCTCCTCTTGGTTCACCACAGAGATGTTCCCATTTTCAATATTCTCATGTCTCCCATTCTGAAGTGGTTTATTTGAGCCATTGGCAGACTGGATTAACCGCTGACGCTGCAGTGTCAAAGAAAAAACTGCCATAGTTTGGAAAATCCTGACTTTGTTAAATATGGGGTTTGCTGTCTGTCCAGCCCCAGTGACGTGAGCCATGATGTTTCTCCACAAAGCCTTCCTTCCAGTCAGCAACATACAAATCTGTCTGTGGCCTACCTGTCTTCATTAGGCCAGTGCTTACTGTCCACCTCAAAATTACAGGTACGAGTCTTTCAAGCCATGATGGAGAAATTTGTTATATCTGTTCTTCTGCACCATGTTTTAATGGGCATGATTAGTCTGAAGCTCTTTTCACTCAATGGTTCCCACTCAAACCAGCAACAGCACCATAATCTACTGGCAACATTCAAGACATTTCCACGCTACTACTAGTTGGCTTATGAATGACCCCATTACCCAGGATGTCTCCTACTCAGGTCCAACTCTTGTCCCTCCTTCGCGTCCCCATTCCTTGAGGGAAATGTAATGGTCCTACTTAAAATTTCAAAAGCAAGACTAATGCCTGTTGCCCTTGCCTGAGTATACACTTTCATAAAGCTCATAATTGCCCCTGCAGACATGTATAAGACCGTTAAAGTTCCAATACATAGTACAACAATTGCAGGGATAGGTTTTAGACATCAGTATATATACACATTAATACACTGGAGAATTTAAGATGCAATGGCAATTTCCTACTTTTATAAAAAAATAAATATTTTTAGTTTGTTAGATGAGATAAAGCAGGGTTGAGAAGTGTTCTTTTTTCACGACAAATTGTTGCAACTTCCTAAAAAGTGCTCTGAAATGCCTTGAAAACTAAAGTAACTTCACAACATGCAAAAATATTCTGAAACTAGTATTAACACACTGTAATTAAAAAGAGAGAAGATTCCTATCTGAATATTTTGCAAAACTTTGGCAGTGAGAATACGTAAGAACATAGATCCAAAATGCTCTGGTTTAAAGAATGTTTTTTGCAGATGTTTAACTAGTAAGTATCAGCTCTCTGTGCACATATCCATTAAGAAAGAATTTTTTTCTGATCAACGAATTGCCTTCAAAGCAGAACTTTTAAAGAGTCAACTGCTGCTGTGTGCCCTATCTGATCTGCTCTTGACTGTACGCCACCAAGCTGACATCCTAACGAACTTTTAACAGTTTTACTGTTACTTCATACAAGCTCAGAAGAGAGTCACTTGGCCAGTCCTGTCACTTCAGCTGCAGGCTATGAAACAAGCAATATATGGTGGTGACAATATATCAAGTAAGAGTTAATTGAAACTGTTCAGGGCAAATTCTCCTCACGAAAATATTGGTCCATTTTCATTTTGAGCTGATGACTATACTGAAGACTAAACAGGTAGGGAAATATCTGATGTGATCCTGATGTGCTGCTAATATAAGAGCAGTTGTTAGAGATTTTTGGCTGCCCTGTCCATTATCCTTCCTTAGCGTGACTGCTTTCGTAATGATCAAAACCAATTCTTCTGCTACGGATAAAATCCAAACGTGCACAGAAACAAGCATCTTTTGGCAGGGAGACAAGGGAGTCCCTCCTTAGTGACTGCCCTTCCATTAAGACAGGCAGCATCACCAACTGGAAATCCATCTTCAAATCTGCTGTGACATAGCTGCTAGAGAAAGACATAGCTCCAGCCCATCCCTAGGAACATGGGAGAATCTGAATTCCAGAATCACTATGAGCATGGCTCTTTGGCAAGCCCTCTGCCTCATAGTCATTTTTTGCTTTCTTAATGAACTTACCTCATTAATGATGAGTCGGCTTGCCATCCGCATTCTGGTGCGTGGTCCAAATTTATTTGTAATCATAATCCGTAATCCAGCTTCAGGGAACCGGTATTTGGGGGGACTGGAGCAGATGATCTCATCCACCATGACAACACTGTTTTTGCCATACTGCTGCACCCCCTTCACTAATGATCACAACGGACAGAGTTAGTTGTGGAACTGATCTTACCATACTTCCCATCACCCAGTCATTCTTTTCAGGCTTAGGTGGGGGTAATATTCATCTGAATGCTTGAATTTATGAATTACTTTCTTGTCATATTTCTGCAGCCTGCTGAATCTGCTCATCAGCTGTGCACTTCATTTCGATCACATGCTGAAAAGGGATTTCACTCTGCTAAGGTAGCCACCAACCCACTCTCAGATGAACGGGAGCAGTTTTCACCCAGCCATTTATGCTGCAGTACCAATTTTCTTTGCTTTATGTCCCACTACAGTTTTGTAAGCCTTCTCTAAAACAACTTGCACTGTAGCAGTGTAGACAGTGCTCCTGGAACCTCTAAAGCTATCCCATTGGATCAAGGTGCCACACGTCCAGAAGTCCCTAATGTTGTGCTCACTCCTTCTGGAAATCCTCACTTTACCTTCACAGAGTATTGTCAGTATCTCTAACATGACAAGATTCGAAACAATGAAAAACAACAATTGTCAAGAACAAATGTATGTTATAAGTAAGCCTTTGTTAATATAAAGGAACTTGTAGCAAGGTTAAGAGTTTTGTTTTGCTGTGTGAAGAACAGAGACAGAGAGACAACATTGTATTGGGAATCAACACAAGTACAGGCAAGGACTTTGAGCTCAACAACAAACCAATATTCTCACAAATGCTACAGACTACACATAGAAAGCAGAGGAAGGCTCAGCAGACAGGAGACATACCCATGTGGTGTTAGAAAGCAGGGCAGGAAATATGCATATGACTGTAATAAATATTAATTATTACATGTAATAATAGGTACCGGACAAAAATAACAAAATTCTTTGCTGCTTGTTTTCTGCTTTGCTTAGCTTGGCTTCACCCTCCCATACCCCTTTTTCATTAGGTTACTTACATTAAGAGGAGGAAGAGAATTTAGGAGGTAGAAGTGAAAGATAATAATTAGTGCATGGTTCAAGTCAGGAAGCAAAGGAAATCTAAGAAAACATTCAACTCAAAGGAATTAAAATGGACCTGTTCTAAATACAGAAATCTATATTGTTCTTTTTTTGCATTGTGTTGAAATATTTTTGTTTTTCAGGAAGAAGACTGGATCCATGCATGCATGTAAATCACATCATGCAATAAAGGCTTTGCTGTCTTAAGCATCTTCTAACATATTTGAAATTGAAGAAATATATCCTTCCATTATAATTCAACAAGAAAAGCCTAGCAAGCCTGTAACCCACCAGTAAACAGCTATATCTTTTACCCTTTAGCATTTGAGTGTCTTGCTTTGTTTCACTAAAATGAGTTTTCAATGCATACACTGGGGTCACCTGAAGTGTCATAGAGATCTTTGGTTTCACAAAGAAATATGGCCTACGCAGAGAAACCAGTCTGTAGTCTCGTCTTGCAGCTTAATATCTCTAATGGAGAATAGAACTAGTAGTAATTTTGCATTTGGTAAATATAAAGGAGCAATTATTCCCTCCCCAGCCCCGACATCTAAAATAAATTAACCTAGCTGAGTACTGCAGCTGATGATGCAAATAAGGAGCACATCCATTCCAATGACTCTTACAGTTACAGTGTGGCAGCTTTTCTGTGAAGGAATATACAGCCAGATAAGCTTCCTGGGAACCAGTCCTCATAGAAGAGGACTCAACCACAGTAGCTTACTATTTGCTTTAGTTAGACAAAGAAAAAGAAACATTTGACATCAATCCTGGTAGAGAAAAAGGCCAGATATCTTTTCAACAGTCTCATCAGACTAACTGCTCTCACATGAGTTTCTCCAGTGAAGTCTCCAAAGTCCTTCTTTATCTTACAGTGTCATGAAAAACATGGAAGCACTGCAGTTACTCTGGAACTGTTTCTTAGAGCGCTAAGGACACAGTGACCAAACATACTCAGCTTTGATGAAATACCATGTAAAAAACTCAGCACTGATGTAGAATAGATCACTATAAACATACATATATATAAAACTATAAATATATATATAAATAACTGCAGCTGTTTTGACTTACTGCAGCACATTGTTCTTATATTTTCATAACAGCTCTTCAGTTTCACTCCCTATGTCCATACACATACATACCTTGGCCCCATATGGTACCAACAGGCTCCACCTAAAAATTGCAAGAGTAGTTTTCACAAATGTGAGACAGAGAAAAGCCTTTTTTGCTTCCCCTTTGTGATAGTCCTTAGAAAAATATCTTCTGAGAAAGGCTTTTCCTTTCAACAAACTACCTAAGAGTCACCACCATCATGAAGGGTCATCACCAACAACCCTGTCAAAATCAACAGAAAGCTTCTTGCTGACTTTAGTTGACTCCTGATCAGGTCCTCCAAAACCCACTTTTTTCAGGAATTTCTGGTTTTAGGCAGGAATCAAACCATGCCACCTGGTGGAAATTTGGCTCAACATAATAAAAGCCAAGGGCAGTGAGCCACATGTTCGTACTTTTAAAATAGGAGCATTATTCACAAAGTACAAATATTTTGCCTTTACCTGTGTGTGTAGAACTCACCCTTGAAATTGAATTTATCTCATGGTGAAAAGCTCTCCTTTTTCTCTCTGAAACTTGAGTAATGGTAGCTTTTGTATTGTACCACTGGAAGCTCTTGAAAGTAATAAAACTTGCAAGCATAAAAGAGAGCTGTGCAGCATGTGAACCCCCCTTTTATCTGCACCTTGAGCAACAGGCTAACCATCGTTGGTAGGAAGAAAGTTCCTCACCCAAAGCAACTGTTCTTTTTTGGGAAGTAATCAGACTTTCCTCCTGTGGAAAATTAGATTAAGGTTAGACCTACACCCTGGTGAAGCCAAGGGAGGTTTTTCAGTGGATGCTGAAACTCACTAACCACTGGTTGGAGGTAAGGCAGAGGCCAGCTCTAGTTCTCTCCCTGCTACTAGCAGTGCTCCTGTTTCTGAAAACTGCTGCTGGGGAAGGTGCAGCTCAGCTTGTGAAGCCAGCCACGTGTCAACTAACAGCGAGTCACTTATAGCTCATGGCACATTTTGACTCAACAGGAGGGAGATGCAACAGGTAGCCATGTGGTGGTTTTCTAGAACAGCTCCTTGACACAAAGCACCCATCTACAAAGCAACTAGGCTAACACTGCCACCCTCTCCCACTGCTCACTCCACACCCTGTCACCTCCTTAATCTCTTCTTCGTGTCCTCTCTTATCCCAGGCAGGTGTTCCTGTGATAATATATACACTCACACTTTGAACAATGGTCCCTCCAACACAGCACGTATTTGTCTTAACGGGTGCTGGAGAAGGCAAAGGGAATCTGACTGAAACTGCAATCTCAGTGCATCTTTGAGGGAAATTAGAACAGAAATCTCCTGTGGACATTTGCTATACATGTAGAATGTATACATTGCTCACGAATCCAGGTTTTTATTAGCTTTCTTGCTCCTTTTCCTAAAAGTTCTCCATGTTCTTCACAAGCTTTCAATAATCTTCACATTTCCTGAAAAGGAAATAGGTAGACAGCCAAGCACTCTGTGCTATCACTCCCTTACCACACAGTGGCTAGAGAGAAGAGTATGCAGGGAGATGACATCAGAACCCAACAAATGCCTCAGAAGTACAACACACTAGTATGTGTGCTCTTTCACTCGATCACCCTTTTCCTGTGTCCCCACTTGCATACATAAGTAACAACTGCCCTAGGAGGTATCCTCTGAACTTTTTATATATGTACCTCCACAGCCAAGTGACAGATTTCACTACATCATAGTCAATGTTCACAGAAATTCATTGTAAAATGAGATCAAAGTATTTTAAAGACATTATCATTTAATTATGCTACAATGTGCCATCAGAAGTAATTTTAAATCTCTATTAAACTACTGTCTGAACACCCCATCTGAGACCAGAGTATCAGTGTGCTGTCATTGCATAAACCTGCAGTAAGTGACAGTATCTACACTGAAGAGATCCCAGACTAAATCCTAAAAGCAGAAAAGAGTGGGATTCTCCAAGTCTTCTCTGAATTCCTGTTTGCCACTATTTGTTCTTACATGAGGACCTTTCCAAATGCTACCTACATCGCTGCTCAGCTCAGTCTCCTAGAATGGGAGATGTCTGCAAAGAACAAAGCAAGGGGACCTCACTCGTTAAGAGTACCCCAAGAGCTCACTAAATCACCTGGTTTGTGCTTTGAGAAGGTAGGAATGATTTTGCTCTACAGATAAAAGAGGAGTGGAAGAGGGATAAGACAATGATAAAAACAGGCTTACAACAAGCCAAAAATACCCAGATACGTTTGCTTACCTTAGTACCAGCAGCTGGGTATCATCTTCCTCCCCTTTATGACAAAGACACAGACAGCAAAGAACCTGCATTTCTTGATTTTACATATGAGCTTGGCAATGTATGCAGAGCTATTTATAGGCATGTGAAAGCCAGTCTTCTGAGGATCTGAACTCAACACATAATCCCTCTTACCCACTGATCTGCCCATGTGCTTTCCTTCCTGACCCAAGTCTCAGCTTCTACTTCCAAACTAGTTTTTGAAGTGAAAATTACCTTCTTCCTGGCAAAAAAAAAATATTTCTTTCACAGTGTTGTAGCTCATCACTGAATAGGAGACAAAAAGGGAGCAAAACTGTCAATGTGCAAAGCAGCTTGTTTTCAGAATATTAAAAAAAAAAAGGTTGTTTTTTTTTCATCTGGCAGTCTGACTGCTGAATTGACAAGTTAACCCAATAAAACTTCCTGCTTATGATTGAATAGTAACACTGTTTTGATCTGCATTAAAGAAATAAAAAGGATATCCTGTGAACTACTCTTTTTCCAAGTCCTGTCTGCTCAGCCTTACCTTTCCATAGTAATGGAATGGATGGGTCATCACAACTAGAGGCATAACATTTATTACCATCTTCCAGCTCATTGTTGACTGTGTCACCATTTCCAACATTCTTGCTTTTAAGAGAGAAAAAACTTTGCATCCTCGCATTGTACCTGAAAGCATAAAGAAAAGGTCTGAAAAGGTTAGATTGTTGTACTTCCTCATCAAACTTTTAAGCATCTGAGAATAACTTATGCAGGCAAGCAGTAAAGCCTAGATGCATGTTCTCTGACAACTAATAGAAAGTTAAGAGAAAGGACTATCCAATTCAGTGGCAAGCTGATAGGAAAGCAAGGGCTGTACCTATCTCTCATGAGATACAGCAAACTGCAAAAAGACACTAGAGCAGATTTAGTGAAGGCAAAACACTGGAGCTGCGGATTTTGGACCCAGGACATTCACTATACAATGGCTTCTTTCCTCCTGCATCAGCTCACAATTCACCTCACTGTTTCTCTCAATACTGTGTTCCCCATGACAGGTGCTTGAGCATTTCTGGGACTGCTGACCATACCCTTCTAAAGCAAAAAATGCATCTCTCTTAGCACTAGGGTGAGATCTAAGAGGGCTGTCAATGAACTCTGCTAAGACCTGATGTAGGAGAAAAGGGGGGCTGAAGTTCCAAAACAGGTGTTTTGTGAGGGGAGGGTACCAAGGGATAAGTCTAGACAACTCTCAGTAGAAGGGTGGACTCACAGATCGTTGCCGTAACAGTCAGACCTCTGACTTTTCTGTCAGAGGCAGTGATACTACAGAAGGGTGTCAGTATGCAATCTGGTATGAGACAGTCTGAAGATCAATACATGCTTAGCAGTCTCTCTAATGTTCTTTGACCTTGTTCTCCAGAGGTTATAAAATATGTATAACAGCTGACATGCTGTGTGCTTACAATCCGGAGTACCCAGTGCACTTTTTCATATGTCTTTGTATAAATGACATTTTTCTCTCAACTTTTTCTGAAAGCTACTTTACCTGAGTGCACTACGAAAAGGATGCATGAAAATACTTGCTGTTGACTGAGCACAAACCTAGCGCAAAACTGATTAAGCAGGAAAAATCAAGGGCTCTTACACAGAAGCATGACTGGTTGTACTGCCCTCAGCAGGACGG